CGATTCCCTATATTCGAAAAATAAATATTTGTGACTTATAATAGTCTGTACCGTCTTAATATTTGCATAAGTTTCACAATTCTAGACACACAAAAAAGACTAGAACTGCCACGCGGTATATTGTTCTGAATAACTTGAGTTCGCTACTTAGCATTGTATTGGATAGAGGTTGGATTGTCCGGCTTTGTGGTATTTATGAACGTTTTAAGTCGCACAATATGTGCCTTCTGTGTAATTGATAAATGAAGTGCTGACCGAACTCACTCGCCTCACCAAAGGCTTTCTGCATAAACAGGCAAAAACATTGGCTGATTGTTATATGAGTAGTAAACAACGATGTTCCAATAAAAAACAAAACCTGCATTGGAAGCGAAACTGTTGGTTACAGTACAATACAGCAAGAGCTTGTTTTCTCGACTTAAGCACCCCAGTCCAGCTTTTGCTATGGCCAGTCAAGATACAATCGTCGATAAACTCCTTATAAAAATTTATAATAAAAAACATAACAAAGTGTCTCTGGCCGCTACGTTCACTCTTGACATAGACAGAAATGATAGACTCGGTAACGAGTTTTATAGTGAGGTTACAGCAGCTACGTATTACTTACGGAAGCTCTGCTAAAACATCGTGGCCGGCATTGATCAGTAACGAACATCTATTATACACATGAAGTTTCTTACGTTGTACTCGATAAATCTATTCAGTCCTTCTTTGCAAAACCGCGAACTGTAAGTTCAACGACGGAAAATTCTGGTACGCGTAATAATAAAACTGGAGCAAATTTTGAAAAACCCGACAGTCGACGCGTTGAAGCGAAGAAAAGCGTTATAGTTCATAGGTATTACTAGAGAAAAACAACACAGTCTTCGAGCGAATTGACTTTTCGCTTTTCAATTGAGGTTTTCAGCTTTCTTGCTTTTTTGAAACATAAACAATACTGTTAAATGAAATTATAAACGTCACATCAACGCCAGCATCTTCCTACAAGATGTTGACATCGCATCTTCCTGCATGCTGGCTTTGGCTGCCTCGAAACTTACGTTCGCGAATTAACCTTGAAAATGAAATCCGCGAAAAGGCTCAATCTGCAAAAAATGAAAATATGAAGTTCCTTTAGAAAGAACTATACATTATGTCGGGCTTACTATGACTAGGTAACGTGTGAACTTAGTCTTCTCAGGGACGGTTTTCGCTTTTATGGGTCAGCTTTTCAGTGAGCATCTAGAATTGAAGGCACCAGGAATACTAGCACCGGCTATTACAATCAAAGAATCAGTTCAGGTTTTTATAGAAAACGAGGTTGTTCTTTTTAGACCAAAAGTTGCGCTTTATGCGTCTTACGGAGCGCCATTAACAAAGAAGTACCTAACGGGTCCATGATTTCGACATGTAAAATCTACATATGTGAGACAGGTCCTTGAATTTCACACTTCATCCAGAAACGAACGTGTCTATTGATTGGGTGTAATGTTGCGGTTTAGGAACCAGAGTGCCGAGCAGAAGTGGAAAAAGCATGGTGTTAGGAGAAAATGCTTATCTTGAGATATATCTATCGATTTACTAGCCAAGCAATAAAGAACACTTGCCAGAATGAGGTTGCCCACAGACAAATCGACCAGTCATAATTCAATACGGAGTTGAAGGTTCCATCACCTGCTCTATCAAAAACTAGAGTACTGTTATTTAGGAGATGGTTGGCTCTGTACCTGATACGAAGGATCACATCAACCGTTCTATCAGTTCTTTCTAGCCCACTAATGATTACCATATCTATAATTTATCATATGTTAATTCATTGCATTATACACATCAATCCAAGATGTTAATAAACTAAATTACCTAAGCGAAGGTAGAACCGTGCAACATGTCAGTGCTAGATTTCACCATATCACCCTTGCCAAGTATTCGTTCTGTGAAGTCGGGGATAGCCTTCGAATCGCAATTGTGACTAAAACTAGTTGGACTTATTTTTGCCCATGCACCACACGGTGCTCCATCCGCCTAACCAGAGGCCCCTACTTCGAAGAGGCTCAAATGAACAGAAATCCAGTTTAGATAGTGTCTATAGTGTTTGTTCTAAGTAAATTTTCTGTTCGAATTCCGTTGAAGAGCATGTGGCCGGTTATGTGACAGTCGGTCCTTGATTGATTTTCCTTAGATGGCCGTCATGAAATTCTTTTTATGCCAATTTCCTTTTTCTAAAAGTGATCATGATGGCAATCTAGCTACCAATAGTCTTCATTATTACAGGTTCTAATTCCGACTACGCAGTGCGTATTGGATATACTAGCGGCCGTTTCTTACATGAATGGTGAAAACTTCACGGTTCGAAGAAAATCGAGGTCAATCTAACATTTTATATTTTTAAATGCTCAGGTAAGCATCTGACCAGGCTACCTAATTAGTTTTCGGGGAAATGTTCTTAGTAGTGAAAATTAAGCTCAATTTAGGTGACAATTCCTGTGCACCTCTATGTTTCCGTCCGGTACCGCTGGCATGCATTCCAATAAACGGTATCTAATACTATCTTTTTTATCACTAACGACAGCTCAATAAGCCTAGCAGGCGGTAAATGCTGTTTCCTAGCTTAAGAATACGCGTACACCGATTTAATTTGCTTAGTATGCTGCCTACCACCTTTGGCAGCCTTCAATCATGATTAATGATAATGCAGTAGCACTTTCTAGGTCAACATTGTGTAATATTAATGACTGCCATAATTCTATCGTCATTGGCATGTTCCTAATGGTGGACTGGTAAAGCAAATAATTATTATTAGGTCCTAGCCGTTCCGTTTATACACATCGACCGTGTTTTGCAGGTGATGTTATTCCCACAGATATGTTCTCATTATAATGTTACTTTTCATCATTTGACTTTTCACAGAAACAAGAACTAGCTCATAAGCCGACTTCTATCGGAAGCAGACTCTGAGAAAGGAAATATTATTTAACAAGCGCTTAGACCAAAAAACCAAGCCTGATCTCTAACTTAAAAATTGTGAAGTGCATTTTTTTAGTAAGAAAGTCATTCAGCTATTCCTACGGAAATCAGATTTCGGATAAGGCAAAAAATCAGTCAGATATTTTAAGAATTCTGAACAGAATTTCTATAACAAAAATGAGATACAAGCATTTGGTTGCGTTGTTGCGCAGTATCTTCGCCAATCTCTAGCTTTCCGCTTTCGGAAGACGGAAACGTGTCAATTCATAACAAACGGATCTAACATAAGGCACGGAGATGTTATCTTGATACCGAAGCTACATAAATTATTGTGTACGGTTTACGTACCGTGGTGTGAAAGGTACAAATTGTTGTGTATTTGTTTCCTACCTTATGGTCACTCAACTTAATAATAACCATACTGTTCGCTGTGGTCTCATGTTTGTCGGGCGGGATACCCTTATACAGCTGCCAGTCTCACAGGTTTTACGTGTCACAGATTGGTTGTAACGCATTTTTGGAGGTCCCTAGGGAAGGCAAGAAGATAAGGAATACTGCTGTTTCGTAGTCTACTTGGTCTAGACCAGGAGATAGCTTAAGCGGCCCTCGAATTGTTAGAGAGAAGGCGTGGTAAAACCAGACCGCACTAGCATAGATATTTGTCGTTTGGTGATGCTATCTAAAGAACTTCCCGTCGCGGGCTACGATGAGGTTGTGCGTAAACTCTACACACAAAAAGTTCATGCTTTTGCTTTGTCGCGACTCGGCATTTATGGAGAAACAATGCGTGAGGGCCATACAGCAATTTCCAATCTATCGGCCTTCATTGTCTGGCTCGCCGTAAGTGCACCGTAAGCACCACCCAAGGAAACATCGAAGTATGAAAATCCTTTGGAAGCCTCTAGCAAATGCACAGACGACATTCCGGAAATCCGCTTTTTCAAGATCGTTCTACCGCGCCCCATACTGTTTAGAAGTTATGAATATCATGCGTCTCAAATATTCCCAGAGGAATCGACTATAGAAGCAACTTGTGTTGCTATCAACGGTACCATTGATGGCCATCAATACTGAAAAGTGATCCGGGTTTTCCGCACAATGCATATGGGCACACGGCGAACATTGATAATATGGGCGCAGTAATTCCTACCCACTAAAACGCACCGGAACACTTGAATAGATACGCACAACAAGCCCCTGAAGTTTATTCTAACCTGACTGAATACGGTCGTGACTGGATCGAATTAGGTTAACCATATACACCAACCTCTCTAGAAATACTGAGACGCTCGACCACTTTGAATCGTTTTTGAGCTACGAAGCTTAAGATGCTAGAGCGCCACTGGCTAGCTTCGTTCCCACGCCTACTTTGCCATTAATCACAGTTTAACTTTGATAGAGATACAAGCTTAATTACATTTATGATAGAGGTAACGTCGATAGCGGTCAGCCACTTCCTAGTCACTGTGAATGAAACCGCTGCCGTCGGTTTATCACCAATTAAATACACATACCGCTCTATAAAGAAAAGGAAACTTTTCCCTTTAGGAGAAAAATTAGTTGGGCTCCCTGAGATGAGTACCTACGGACACAGATTTTTAACATGACACTAGGAGGGCTCTTTTTCGTACCTGCTTTGCTACTAGACACGTCTTATTTTACTTTTTGTAGAGGTAGAGACCTAATTAGATCTACGAGAGAGGTAACGTCAAATAACGGCCATTGACGGACTTTAAACCTAATAAATTTGTCCACAATAATATGTAAACACAGTTTTCTATGCAGTGCAGCTCGGACACACTTGAAGCCGAAGTGAGAGATATTGCATGTGAAGAACGTTGAGATAATGTATCAATGGAGTAGTGAGTCCTTGACCGTTAGCCCAAGAACAGCCCGGAACAGTTACCAGCTGTTAGCGCTAGGTAAAAAGAATGCGGTCATGCGCCGCAGGTGTCCTACAAATCACTTTCAAAATTGGTAAAGGAAATCTAGTAACAGATTATTCAGAACTTAACAATCGTAGTTTATTAATGAACAGACGCAAGCGTTGACACGTGTGTTACCGAGTGCTGAAGTCGGACTCGTCAGAATTATTTGTAAATGTCGTTTCGTCGGTTGTTGCAGCAACGACTGTCGAATATTGATATCGATAGAGCCGTTTAGTCAAAGAGGTCGCTAAGTACAATATTTCTTATAATAGTATTGTCTTTGAAGAGTACGGCTGAGGGCAACGTAGAATTGGCTCTAATTGAACACAGGTTCTTGGGAAGAAATGAAAACTTCTCTATGATTTGGTTTTATGCTTTGTGAATGGTCATTGCGAAGCAGTTGTATCAGAAATTAATGGCAGCCTAGTGGCATATCAGCGATCTGAAAAGGAGTGATAATAACTCGTAAGAATAGCACGATCTTTTGGTTGAATCTGTCCGAGCAACTTTTAGCAGATAGGTACGAACAGCGCGCGGCAATTCTGATTCCAAGAAATATCCGAAACCTCATTGAATGCGTGATACATCATGGCTTCCTAAAAGAGAGGTCGATGCAATAACTGTGAATATCTCGGATGAGCCGATTACTCGATATTAACTATTATAGAAAAAGTCTTAAAAGTATACGTGTGTAAAGCTTGTCGATGCGTCGTGTCCTACAGCTCTGCTCCATGGCAATATTGGTGAACAAAATGAAAGTGTGATAAATAATTTGTGAATACCTGTCTTCAGCTATGTCTAGGAAAAATTGAAAGTACTCGGTATTGCGGTGAGGCTCATGTTGGTAGTCAACCTGTCCGTCGTGAAGTGCCTCCACAGATGGGAGCAACTTGGCATGTTGAGTATCAGCCTTAATGTTGCGCCTAATAACCTGAACCAAAGGACACCGCGCTATACTGTGTAAATACTCTCAGCACGACTTCTATTTTTGTCTATGTCACGAAGAAATCTCGTAGGGATCTCAAAAGCTTTGCGTTCAACCGTGGAGCGCTACAAGAAAAGCTAATAGGAGAAAAAGATCAGCTGTTTTCGGATTCTCATCAGGATTGCAAAGCGTGTTTTCGGTAATTTGGATGGGAAGCGCAGCGCTGAAACAGGACTGCGTCGTGCTCCGTAAGGACTGGTGAATCATTAACAAATGGTAGCGTACAAACCTTATTAGCATGGCGCAAAACGCTTGCGTTACAACGAGCTATCATAATCGGTTGGCCCTTTTCGAGCCTTGGATAAATGTGGGAAATCAAAAAACGTTCACAGTGTAAACAACAAGACCCTTTTTTAGAAGAGCTCAAATACTTATTTTATGTAGACTTACGTACTTTGGCTACCGAGTTTAGTTTCTAACATGTACCCAACATCTCATAAAAGTGAGAACGTTTCACACATTTTCCACGTTTACGACACGTGTACATCGATTTTTACTAATAGTTCACCCATTTTTAAAGCATGTATTTTTTAGTTTCTGATTACTTCGACGACTAAATAATTCTATTGTAAACCTCTGTCTCTTTCAATATAGGAAACCAACTGAGTAATCGAATTTTATATATGCAATAGTCTCAAAATATTACCTACTTAAAAGAAAAAAACCTCTTACGGTTAGTCAAAATCGGTTCAAAGCGTTTACCAATTCGAGTTGGGGGTGGTGAAAACGGCTTTGGGCGGGCATATATTGCTAAGTCGTATGGCCGATAGCACACATCTATGCTTCTGTAAAAAGTGTTAGCGCAATAAAAATGAAAATGAAAAAAAGGAGTCATTTTAGAAGTGTAAGAATGCTTTTTTCGTTCACAGGTCTAAGGTTGGCGTTTTCATACTATTCTATATCAAAATCACCACAGAAATATTTGGAAAACAAACTTTAAAAAACTAGGGGGTGAGACGCTCAGTTAGTCCCGGCCAATCCATATATATGCAATATTCAGTATTGATACAGAATTTCATTTCACATAAGAGGTTTATTTACGCATATTTTGCTTAGCCCCAATGGAGATCTTCAATTAATTGTCTACCTTATTATGCTGCTAAAGTTGATTGCATAAGATGATTCTCTTACTAAGGTCATCCTATGGCGAAACAGAATCTACAAACGATTCAACGACAAGGGTTCGCCTGGCTTGTCAACTCTAAGCGCTGTGTTTTCCGTTGGTGTGTAGGATCTTTGTACCGATTTCCATAATGTGGTGCCGGCATTATCATACTGCTAAACAGTTGCTTTGGGTTGGTGGCACGGATAACCCCCTCCTACGTAGATGTCAATGTAAGGAAATAGAGGACGAAATTATGCAAAAGAATTCTCACAAAAAGCTTGATCACTTCAGCCCTACCACTTCGAACCTGTTAGTGGCGTCTGCTATTGCGTACCATCTGTCTCGTAGTGATAGTAATGATAATCATCATAGATATCAAACACCTTTTTATTGTGTATTAATTACGTTGTGTTTAATTATTAACACAACTAATAATACTAGTAAGAAAAACTGCATCATTGAATTAAGGAGCTTGTACAACGATGCGCATGGCTGTTATCATGGTGCTACAACAGCGTGACGATAGCGCTGACGCTGTACCTCTGATCGGCGTCGGCGCCAATGGCAGACAATGCTGCTGCCGTTTTGCTATATTTTTCATTGTGAAGACATGAATTAAGCTATAGGAACACGGGGGATTTATCCCGCTGCGAGTTTTCGATCGGTACCAAATTCTGCCTCGTTATATAGATTCCTACATCATATGGTTAGGAGAACAATTCCGGAAAATAGATTCGCACGCTAAAGACAGCTCACCTCAGCGGCAACAACTTTTCCACGCACATCCTTAAAAAAAAATAACGAACAAAAAGGACGGTTTCATAAAAGTACTTCACAGCAGACGAACACTACGAACGCTAGCAAAGATAAGCGGTAGGTCCCAACTTATTATAAGCATATATCCAAGCACTGCAGAAAGCATTTTGCAGACTAGTTCGCTGCACACACAGTAGTAGCTGGTCCGATCGTCGTCTCTACTTCATTGCTAGTTCCAGTCTATATTGAACGTTTTACTACATTTCACGCAATGCAGAGGCGAGTAGAATGGTAGGCCAGTCGGTGGCCATGGGACACAAGGAAAGCCTCGAAAACTTTCAAAAGGTGCAGCCTGCCACTGGCCGTGTATACCGTCCGCCAAAGAACACACGTTACACAATGCAAGAAATACGTGAGGACCTTGAAAAGTTGATAAATAGGGGAGGTAGGGCGATACACGTTGTTATTCAATCAGATGTCCGGTAAACTCAACTACATTGATTGTACATTTCAAAAATATGTTCGCGATCAGTGATACAATTTTTAAGTAATGCGCACCCTGCTTGAGCGAAAGTGCCATGCTAGAGACCCAGCACGCCCTCGAGAACCTGCAAGACAACCAGGCAGCGGGCCCAGATAGGGTGTGCAATGAATACCACAAGAGCGCCCTTGTTCTGGACTGCATTTGCCGAGTGTCTGAGTGCCGAGGCTCTGCCCACTTTGCTAAGTGGGCTTATCGCTAACGAAGCTTATCTCTGCTGAGATAAGCTTCGTTATTCCAAAAGCAATATGAACCACCTTTGGCGTCGGCATGATCCAGAATCACTATGATGAGCGTCGACTACAAGCTGCTCGTCGGTCTACCTATCAAGAAACTGTCCGCTTTCTTTTGAGAGCAAAAAAGCTATCCCGAAGTAACAACTTACATTCGAAAGAGAAGGTTGAATAGAAACAGCATGTAATTTCCTCATGGCCGACATTACAAAGGCACACACCAACTCAGCGAATTCCTTGCGTGCAGTGTTTGTTGACTTAAAGGCCGCATTGGACCTTGCACCCGGAAGTATGGTTCTGTGTATTTTGGTGTACGTGGGCGTACTAAAAAACACTCGTCTTATTGGGTGCTATACTACAGGAAAGGTACGCATAGATAACGAAGTGGAGTCTTCCCTCTTCGCAAGTTGCAAACCTGGCCCAAATAATAATTTGAACTTCCCTTTCTGTTCTCATTCTTACTTGAAGCCCTTTTTCAAAATAACCGAAGGAAAGAATAAGGTCAAAGTCCTCATCTCCGCGGACGACTTGTTAATCTACAGCCCGAGTCGATACCAAATATAGCCGGCCCTAGCTACGTTTCATGTAACTGTAACCTCTACGTTTTGAGTTTGACGTCCGGTATCGCTGTTAGGCGTTCCATCAAACGGACATGACTGTAACCTAATTGAAACTAGCGACCAACCTGGATAAGACGGCGGCCATTAAATCCACGGGAGTTGCAGGATATCGGCTAGTAGTACACCGTATCGCGTCACCTCAACCTTTTTTTACGTCAACAGACTATTGTATCTCGGGCCACTAATCTCTTAGTAATTACAGCTTCGCCTCGCACACGACAGACGAATGTAAAAAATCGTTGACCGCATTATATAGAATCAGAATCCCAAATCGCGTCGTGACAGCAGTCCGCCTATTTAGCTTCTTTTTGGATGGGTGCTTAGGGTCTTCACTGTACACCAAGGAACCGAATAGTTTACCTCGTATCGAAACCCCGCTCTTTACCACAGTTTTGGTATCGCTTTGATCTCCAGATAACCGAGGCCTTCTCCAAGTACCCCAGCCGGTGGAAGCAAGACTTCACCAAAATATATGGCGAATTTTCAGCATGAGAGCGATAAGAGATAATGGCTCGAAGGAGTTGAAAAGGACAAACCATCACATGATCATCTGTTTCGTAATTTACTCCCTGCATTACAATTATATTTATGTTCGCCTTTATGTACCTAAGAGGGAGTGCGTTTGTAGTAGATGCGGGGGGAACCGTAATCAATAGTAAGAAATACTGCAATAGGTCAAATAAAATTCGTTTGCGGGGTTGAATTGAATTATACATATTTAATGGCGTGCATTCGTCACATTTATTAGGTAAATAGACAAAGCAACTGAATAACTGAATAATATTTGGTTATTGTTTTCTTAGCTCATTCAGTTTCATCAACTTAGTGATCTCTCGTATGCTATTACTCTTTCCACACTTGAGCTATGTTAACATCATATAAACTATGACAATGAAGATTCCCACGCTAACTAAGGCACCATCACTACTGGGATATCACAAGGCCTCTGGTTACTACTACACTATGTATTAAATAGTACTTACGTCTAATACGAGGCTTCTAATAAGATTATTCTAAGTGCGAATAAAGCGTAAACTGGGATCAGAATTACTGAGCATTTCCGACGGTTCACCCCCTGAAACGGAGACCGTTTCAGCAACATAAATATTATAATTTACAAAATTAGATATAAATCTAGTCACCCTTGGCATATTTGAGTGAGTGTAGCCATTAAGCAAGGTGTCAAGAGGTGTAATTATTGGCGAATCCCTTGTTAAGTCGTGACCGCCCCAAGGGGTGAGAACCGCTTGATGACGTAGACAGATATCATCTATGGAAGGTTATCTTTCTTGTCCTAGCTGGCAGCACGTAATTGAAGACTACACCCTTGTACAAGTGAATCCATAACGCTCTGAACTCCTTTTCCCCGTGGGCCAGATCGTAAACCTGCGCCTGACGAGGCATTTCCTTGAATGATCCCATTTTGAACCAAGGTTGTATAGAGGAATAGAGGGACAGAATGGCTACACAAGTGGACTACTACACAAAGAGTGAATTGGAATTAGCGCACAAGGCTCGTCTGGTTCACCGTCGACGTATGGCTGAGGTTGCTTGTTAATGACCGCAGCAAGCTCATACAATTATTTACAGGCCTTCAAAACTCGCTAAGCTATGACTCACAGTTTCCACGATCCGTTTAGTGAATTCACTACGCGAAACGATTCAAGGACAATGGAATGTCCAACTAACACGAGGTCAAGCCAAACAAAGCGGAAAAAGCGACGACTACTTTCGGCGTCTCCTGTAAACTTGAGCAGTGTCAACAGACAAGCAATGCCGAAAATGGATTAAGAAATTAACCGAAGTAAAGTTGAAATTAGATCCGACTAGCAGATGAGCGTTTAGATAGATATGATCGGACGAATGAGAAGGGCAGTCTCCGTGTCGTATGTCTTCGTCACAGCTTGGTAATCGTCTGCAGCGTCAGCAAGGATAAACAAGGGATAACATATCTTTTTCGCATGCCCTTCTCTCTGGCATCTATCGTATCCTCGAGGTCATGTAGCAAATTTCAGGACTTAAATACCAGTCGGTCGTACTTTATGGTACTATTTATGATGGAAGCTGTGGATGTTCGTTTACGAACCAAGACTGTATATATCGCCGTCCGAGTACAAAATCACGGGAAACTGTTTCAATGCGTCTCCTTGCTTCCCAGTCGGCGCTAGTGCCTTTGGTTCATCCACACGTCTCAATTTATTAAAGGCACTGCAAAACTTCGATGGTGCGGCACAGCATCATATGGCATTCAGTTCTGCAACTTCAATCCACGGAAGCGGGTCGACATCGTCTCTCCTATTACAGAATCTAACCTCGTTTCATAACCTATCGACTACAACCCCTTCTGAGCATCGATAAAGCGGAATCAACGAGTGGATAATAAATACCGAACTGTCTTATGAAGTCGAGGATTCGTTGAGAACAGTCAATAGCAAAATCAGGTGCGTAAGTGACTACGATATCTTGGTGGGCACGATGTGGGTGCTAACAAATCGAGCACGACACATTCCGAAGCGATCGTATCAACTCCAGCAAAGGCTTGAACGACAATCGGCCTTATACAGCGGGTGAACGCTGAGCGTTGACTGGAAGCATGCTATCAGAGTCGAGAAAGATGCGAACGAATAGTTGCGATTCCCTACTTCAGAGGTGTGCAAATGCCATAAGCAATAGAGTTTTCTCCGAAACAGCATATACGATTGCTTTAGTAGTAGTGGTCATAGCTTGCGATTCATTGCTCGGCTGTGCTTTCGACGGGTACATCCACGTATTAAATCGCACACAATACAAGTGACATTAAATCCTAAGCATGCCTCGCCATTAGGCCGTAGGCTTGGAGAGCATGCAAGGCATATGTTGTCTCCCGACTATATGAAAGCGCACCTATTATGACGGATCACTCAAGCAATTCTTCTTGTGGGATGCCGGCGATTCTTTCATGAGTTGTTGTAGGCAGCTAATTTGTGTCGGCGTTCACGTGGAAACCGTCACTGCAGCCGGGGGATGATGCAACAGCGAATGTCGGTTACACGCTGGATTTCCGCCTCAATTTTATTAAGTTTTGCCGGAACAGCATTACGGACAATAGTTTCGTATGCCAGGGCATGCTGCTCAAATGTTATGCCGAGGGCGCCCATAGAGGGAGCTTTTCACCTAATTGATTAGCTGGCGCGGTCTTGACAGGCTCTTTGGTGACCGCACCTTCACCACATTAATTAAATTTTACAAAACTTACGAGCGTTTACCTGTCTATAGTCCTGGCTCAAAAAAAAAACTAAGGGCGACATTTATTGTTAGCTTTTCAACGATTGCCTGTAGATTCCCAAACAATAACGTAAGTAACGCTGCCCGCTGATTCGTGCGTGTCGGCTAATCCACTCCTTAGCTGGAAGACCTGATCACTTTCGAATATGTTGAGCATTGTATAGAACACTGGGATCAATACTAGGTTAACAATACCAATAATAGGTTGACAATACGTCGACATTGTGGCATCTTTGCTGCATTACTGCTGGTACTACTAATACCGCTTATTTTCGCTAATTCTGAACTACTCTCGGAGCCACATCTGCCTTAACTAGCCTTCTCAAATATACAATGCGCTATCTTCCAGCATGTAGTCCAAGTCTCCTTTTTGTAGAGCGTCAGGGTTCGAAATTTGCCCATAGAGTGCTTGCATAACCGCCGTTTAGTCTTCGAGCATTGTTAAAGACCCTTTTAATTGTTAATGGCAAATGGACCGTCACATCCATTGCCATTTCAGACAAAAAATTTTCGAGACCACGATGTTCGCTCGTTATTGCAATATGAGCAATTGGGCAGGAGTAGTCGCTGCTTTGCTCATCCGTGTGTTTTGGCAGTAAACATTTTATTCATACACTTATCTTGCTGGACTCAACTCAGACCATCAATGTTTTTGGCTACATATCTCAAATACCACATTACCTGGCTAAGTCAAGTGAAGTGTGCACAAAGCATTAACAACTTCTACGAAAAAATCCACACCTGGAACGTTCATATCAGTACATCTGCTAAAACGACCATCATTAAAAAACTTATCGCAAGCTGCTTGTCTATAGGCTTGTTAACGAATACCAAAAGATGCTTTAGAATTAAGCAATATATTTATTCCAAATTCTTGTACGTTT